ATGTTGCAAGCTGGTCGCGCATAGGGCAAGTGCGCGAGGGACTCGGATCGGCAAAACAAAAAGCCGAGCAACACGAGTAGAGCAGAAAAAGGATTGATAAATCAATACAATCAATCATCATCCCATACATCATATCCAAACCCATCATTCATCTCAGGAAGCCCAGAAACAGTGCTTCAATCTGACAAAGGTATGCGCTTTGCTTTATATACTTATAATAGCTATTCTAACGCAATAAGTTCTTCTCTATTAACAGATATAAATGTTGCTTAGTAAAAAAGAATTATTACTCTCTTAGTATAAAAGGTAGACCTACGTTAGCAACTTTAAGATCTCTTATAAGAAAAAAGTTAGGCATTATTAAGTAAGGACTAGTAGTAGATAGGTAAATGTTACTCTTAATAGTGCTTTAATAGTGTTGCATTAGTGTTTAGCAGAAGCAAGACAGGTGCAGGACTAGTCCTAGACTTAACAATTATAAAAGGTTGTGTAATATTTAATTTAAAACTAGATAGAGAGCTTTTGTACACTAACTCTAGTTGTTCTTAGGCTGAGATGCACCAGTCACGACTTAAGCAGGGGGCATCGGAGTTCGTCGGGCTGGTGCAATGCCGAGCCTCCGATGGTGCACCTTTGGCGTTTTATCCTAAGCGCCGAGCCATTTAGTTCCCACCAATACTCCGAATCCTAGGCCGGATTTAGTATCATTCCAAGTGGCTTGCATGCTCGCACAGCCACAGACTCCTCACAATACGATACTAGCGGGTGCATGAGGTAAGATGCGGGGTCAACTCTCATTAAGCCGGATCAGTCGCTCACTTCCGCTAGAAGTACCAATCAACATGGTGTCGCTGCATGAAATTGCGCCCTGCATCGCGCATAGGGCTCGTAACGACTTGCTGACCGATAAGAGAGATTCTACGTCTCATACAAGGTTATTCTGAGAAAATTTAGAGGAACAAAGACTCAACCTTAGCACTGTAGGGAAGGGAGTCTGTTACACTAGAAAGGGCAGCGTTGTACAAAGCAGGCTTGAAGACGACAACGCAAACGTAATTTTTTCAGAGGGGTAGATTACAGACATTAAGAATTAGCTATAGAGCATTATTTCTACTAAAATATAGCAATATTTGTTATGCGCATTGCCTCTCCTGTAGCTGAAAGTCGAAGTACCCCTCACTTTTCTCGGCACACAGTGTTTCTCGCTAAGCAGTGAGGGACGTTAATCTTTAGGCAGCAATAAGGGTGAGCACGGCAACATCGTGAGTCAGCAAGCTTGGCTACGGCGACTTCGGGGAAAAATTGGCCGCCAAGCCCGCTAGGCTGATTAACACGCAGGGGTTCAAGTTTAATAGCTATCACATCACAAAGCAACGGCAAGAACGCGCGCAAGGCCATCTGCGTTCCTCTTATTTGTCGGTGTTGTATGGCCGTATACATTCCTTTTTATTCAGCGTGCCCCTACCATTTCTCATCTTACCGTGGTCAGGACACGAAGGAAGCTTGCATGGATAGGCCTATACATATCTGGAGTAGAGGTCAGCATCAGCATTATTAACCTCATAGTCGAGTTCAGAAGGAATAGAAGGGTTAGAAATCGAAGTAGCAATGCTCTATTTTTCTGGGTTGTTTTGGTGATGGTGGAGTGCAGCGTTTATGGACTGTAGTTGAAACAAGGCCTATGTGTGAATACTCCGAATGCAAGGTTCCAAGCCGCCGCAGGGCTGAACGCCACGGGAATTAAATTATTAGAATTATTATGTAAGACACGGGGCGTCGCTCGCTAAGCGCTGGGATCGGTAATCGCTTCCATCGGAAGTACGACCAAGGTGGCGGCCTTGCATGAATTTGTGCGCCACAGAAGCCACAAGGGTGACAACGATTTCCAGCATTATGGCAAGTCTCTAAGGCCCAGATAAAACCGCTAATAATTATTTTTGAGCGGTAAGAGTTTAGCAGCGGTGCTGTAGGGAAGCGATATAGTTGCGCTCTAAAAGCAGGGTCTCTACGAGTCAGGCGACAGCGACGATGCGAGACGTACTCTAAAGGTAGGGGGGAGGGGTCATGATTGTTCAGGTTTATACAGAATTATAGGAAATATCGACGTGAGTGTAGAGTTACGGTCTGATAAAGTCAAAGTACCCCTCATGTTTTCGGTACGGCGGGTTTTCCCTGACCCAGGGACAGACAGTTCTTAACGGAGCGAACTAGGAAACGCGGTGCCAGCAGGCAGCAATCGTAACTTCAAATAAAACAATATACAGGTTCTGCCGAAATGCAAACGATTTTAGATGAGGTGGTGATATGATTTTGCATTTCGTTATGTCTACAGCATATATTATAGCCTCGTTTAATGTTTCGAGAGTGGTTAAAAGGAGTGTTTATGATCACGGCCCCGGTTACCTTAGCTCAAAACCGTTCGGCAAGGCATGGTGATAATTGTCAGCGGGATAAGTGTGAATGCAGCTACCAGACTGTTGCAGGATTATTAACAGTAGGATTCGAAGAAGTGTCGCAAGGCCAAGCATCGATCGAGGAACCCGGGCCGACATAACGATCCCTAGTTCCGAAAGTGTAATGTCTGTCCAGGGACTCCGTCTTCGGGTTTAGCGCAGTCCCTGCGCTTATCCATATCAGGCATCGCTCCTTGCCCTCTCAACCCGCCGCTTTTGACGTCTATAAAATGCTTGCCCTCCCGTCGCCAGGCTTCCTCAGGGCTTCGAACGGGCCGTACTACGGTCCGTACAAAGTGAACCGTAACGGTCACGTGTTCAGTACGAACGTACCAAGTTCGTGAGCCGCACTGTACAGTTAATAATGCCCCAGGTACAGTACGTAGTACAGATTGTATTACCCTTTTAAGAAGTTTTTATAGCAATTCTAGAGGAGTAGAAGGACTCTAGTACGTAAGAGGTCTATAGGGAGAGCTTCTAAAGCTCTAATTAGCTAAAAGTTTTATAAAGGCGCTTAAATTTCTTTTTAAGGGGTTTAATCTATCTGTCTGCAGTCTGTTATCTTAAAAATGCCTATTATAGACTATTTTTTATTATAGAGTTATTTATCTATGTGTTTTACTACCTTATAGGCCTTATTTAGTTAATTAGATCTTTTTATTATTTATTTTACACAGTTTTATAGGCTGTAGAAGTTAAGAGCTGTCTACACTACATCTTCTACTTTATTTAATAATAGTATACTATTTATAGCTAAAAATTAATTACAGTAGTTTTTAAAGAACTATAATTATAATACTAATATTAAGTTTATAACGTACTTTATAGGCAAGTTGCTTACACACCTAAGTTGCTTACTTTTGCTAAGACCCTACTACACTACTTTTTCTATACTAATGCATTTCTAACAACACTACTTAAACATGTTAAAGAAATATTAGATATAGCTTATACTTTAAGCTTTTAAATAAAACACAACACTTTCTAAGCAACACGCTGCAGCTATCTATAAAGTCTTTTAAAAAAATAATAAGTAACTAATATACTAGACAACCTTTCTAAGCTAATTATACAGCTAACTTATAAAAGCTAGATAATAATAAAGAGCAGGTAATTATTTAGAACATACTTAAGCTAGATGCATAAGAATTTCTCCTCTAGCTAGTAGCTATAGCTAATATAGCTAATTCTTTACGCGCTAAGCGTAATATAAGCTATATTAGTATAAACTAGCTTAATATGTTTATTAAGTGTTACTTAGAGCTTAAAGTAAAGTTTAAGTATAATGTCACGATTGTGCACGAGTAAGGTTATAGAGCTTCACAGAGGTCTAGTTTAATTACTATGTGAGGTATCATAGTAGGTACAAGACGTTGTGTGAGGAATAGGAAAGTTTAGAAGAAAATTAGCAATTAAATACTTAGCTTAGAAGTCTAAGCGCTTTAAGTATAAATTAAGCCTATTCTAGGTTTAGTTAGTGTTAAAGTAGTTTATACTTAAGTTTATATCTGTGTTATGTTGTGTTTATGTTAGACATGCACTAATAATACTCTAGTACATGTCTAATACAGTTATGTCTAGGATCTAGAGAGGATACTGTAACAGTACCCCCCCCCTTATTAAGAAGAGAATCCTTTACATTAGTAGTTCTAGCATTAGGTTATCTTTGTTAGGGTACAGGTTTAGTTTAGATAGGTATTAGGCGTAGAATTAGGTTACTGTAGAGTTCTTTTACAAGGCTTCTGCAGGTTCCTATAACAGTTTATTATATCTAGTCTATTTTATAAAGTATTTATAGATACGTTTCTTCTTGTTAAACTAGATTTATTTAACATCTTCTACAACATATTCTAGTTTGTTATTTATAATAACAGGTTTAAGTAGCAGGTTTAGCTGTCTAGGTAGATAGTTAGATTTAGAGGCTGCTTAGCGCAGCAACAATACGTAGAACACAGGGTGTATCTTTATGCTGTTAGGTAGGATTAATTAGTAAGCATGTAATAAAACTATATAAGCTACTATAAAGAGGCTAAAGCTCTTCTAATTAAGTTTCTTTAATTATTAGTTTATTTAGATATTTCTAGCGTCTAGCTAGACCTTCTTGCTAGCTGTATATGCAGGGGCAGAGGTTTAGAATTAGTTTGCGTACTCTTGTTAAAAAGCTTAAGCTTATGTAAGCTCTTTATAAATGTATTTAAATATATTTTAGATTTTGTTAATAAGTCTATTTACATCTATTACTTATATAGATTAATAAGTTAGTTAAGAGGTATTTAAAAGTAGTTTAAATCTTATTTAGAGGTAGTATCTATAGTTTACTAAAAATAAGAATACTTATGTTAATTTAGATGTTATGTTATTAGCTTTAAACTATGCTATAGCTAACTATTTTACCTAGTTGTCCTACTAGTAGTTTGTGTACACTTATAGAACTTATTTTATTACAGTATTTACATTCTTAGTCTAGCTGTTAGTCTCTAGGTAAAAAGCTATAGATAAATAAAAAATAATTTAGAGCTATTTATAGAGTTTATCCTAGAAAGCTAAAACAAACTGCGTACCTCTGTCTAATATAATTATGTTAAGTAGGCTATAGTAAACTTATACATATTAGTAGAATAACTAGGCTATATTAGGGGCAGTTATAAAGGAACATAGTATTAAGTGTTAATACTTAGTTAAGCAATTAATAACTACTATAATATTTATATACCTTTTAGATAAAAGTAGGTCTATAATAAAATTAATTAATATGTCTTTTTAAGCTTGTTTAGAGATTAGGAGCAGTTTAAGCAGGCTATTATACCTTTTTTAAAAGGCTTTTACTTTACAGCAAGTATAGCAACATAATACATATTAGCGTACAGTATAGAACATGCAGGGCTAGTAGTACTCTCTCTATAGTAGGTTAAGAGTCTTTTCTCTGCCTAGGTGTCCTCTAATAAGTAAGTTATGTATAATTTAAAGTAGTTTAATTCTTAGTTTATTAGAATTAAAGATTATAAGTTAGTTATAGTAATACAGCTTACTATTTTAGTTTTTATAGTTAGCTAGTGTTACCTTCTTTAACTAACTAGTGCTATTTTAGAGTAGGTCTAAGGTTTCTTAAATAAATTTATTATTTAAATACTTATTAGTAATAATTTAATTAATTATTTAATCTATTTTATTTAAGTTAAGGTCTAAAAATAGCTTAGGTTAGAGTAAAGTTTAGTGTTAAGCCTTTTATACTTCTTTCTAAGCAGGGATGTCTTAGAATTACTTTATAAGGGCATCTAGTTTCCCTCTATCTTAACTAGGATAATAAGTAATCTTAAAATTAAAATAGAATAGATATTTAGACTAATAGGCTTATTAGTAGCTAAGTTGTTTTATAGTTATAAAGTACTATAAGTTCTTATAGTTAGATAAAACCTGTATTAGATGCGCTGCACTTTCTAGTTTAGGTTGCTATTATTTAAAGTAGTGTACTATAGCAAGTAATTTTTTATTATAGATCTTATAATTACTTTCTATAAAGCTTATTCTTTTTAAAAAGTATGTAATAGGCCTAATAGTCCTGTCTAGCTTAGTCTAGAAGAAAACTCCTGCTACTATGTAGTCTAAGGCATTAGCTTCTACAAGTATTAGTAGTTTAAAGTTAAAGTAGTAAAGTATTAAAGCTTTAGTAAAAGCTTTCTTTAGCTAGTTAAAGAACTATAAGTAATTTAAGTTAAAGTTAAATTAAATCCTTTTCTTAGTAAGTGTAATTATAGGGCTTACTAGCTATAAAAAGTTATTAATAAATTATTAGTAAAAGTTAGTAAATCTTATAAAGGCTTAAACATCTTTTATGTCTTTTAAGTATTACTAATCTAGCACAGTCTAAACTTTAATAGAGTTTATTTAAATGCTATTTATAAAGATTACATATCCTAAATATATAACTTTTAATTAGTAAAACTTGCATTTATCTATGTTAAGTTATAGACCTGCTTCTTCTATAGCCTTTAGCACTAAGCGTACATGCTATTTATGCTCTAAAAGGCTATTACTATAAATTAGAATATTATTAATATACATAGTGCAGAACATGTTTAGGTAGAGTTAGAGTAAGTTATTTATAAAATGTTAAAAAGTACTAGGCGTGTTAGCTAAGCTAAAGGGCATTACTAAGTACTTAAATAGTTTATATTAGGTCTAAAACACTGTTAGCTACTTATTACCTTTTACTATCTTTAGCTTATTAAAAGTAGTAATAATATCTAACTTTATAAAATACTTTACTTTACTTAGTTAGCTTAGAGTTTCCTGTAAAAAAGAAATTAAGTATTAGTTTTTAATAGTAATAGCATTTAGTCTTTAGTAGTTAACGCAGAATTAAAGCCTACCTCTAGGTTTCTTTATAAATAGTATAAGTAACACTACTAGTAAAGAGCTAGCTTAAATAAACTTTTTTTTTAGGTTTTTATTAAAGTATTTTTAGAGCACTTTTAATTTATTTAGCAACATCTTATATAATAGCCTATAACTAGGTTGTTTACTAGGCTTAAAAGTTATCTAGTAATTATACAGATGTTGTATTAAAAGCTTATTAGACTTATCTTAGAAGAAAACATATAACAGGTTATAGTAGTCTTAAAGGACTATTATCTTTAGGTTAGTGTGTTTTTAGAGAGCTAAAGCTTAGTCTATATTAGAAATTATAACTGTGTAGATTTTATAATCTAGTTATTAAGCTAGAGTTATAAATAAAGTAGGTCTTATATAGCAAATGTCTATCTGCTGTTTAAGTCCTAGTTTATGTTTAAATTAGGTAGGTAAAGGTTTCTTAAAAGCTTTCTTTTCTTTAAGTTTAAGTAGTTGTTAAATTATTTTATATAGCCTATCTTAGTAAAAGGCTTAGCTTATTAGCCTTACTTAGGTAGTTCTTCTCTAGGTTATTAAAGAGTAGGTCTAAAGACCTTCTATATTAAGTGCTATTTAGATGTTGTTTAGGTGTAAGCATAAGTATATATTTTAGCATTAAAAAGAGTTAAAGTTTAGAACTTACTTTTAGTAATTAAAGGCAACTTTATGCTAATATAGCTATAGTTGTTTTAGAATTAGGTTATAACATTCTGTGTTTATTACATAGAGTTTAATCTACTCCTTATAGTGTTAGTAGGTAATTGTAATAGTTATAGTATAAAAGATAAAACCTTTTTTAAGTTATTTTTTATTAAATCTAGTTAAGTAAATTATTTAAGTAAGTAGTGTTAATTAAAGATTTAGTTTACGCGCTAGTTCTTTATTAATGTAACCTATACTATTTACTTCTAAGTTAATAAAAGCCTATATTAAGGCTAATATAGTTCTTTATTAT